CTGGGCTCCAGCTACATGAGGTGGGTGGGGAGACAGCAGAGACGGCTCTGCTCTCCCTCTGCTGGCTCTGCTCTCCCTCTGCCTGACACTGGCCCTGCCGGGGGTGGAGAGCAGCTGCCTCCCTGATTCCAAGGGGAGCTTCCCAGAGATCTGAGAACTCCTGGGCCTCAGGGGACAAAGACCAGAGCCTCAAGGGTGTGTGTGCACAGGAGAAAGGAGAGAGAATCCAGCAGCTTCTTCCCTGGGGTAAGGAGAATGCTCCCTCCACCCCTTTCAAACACTCACACACACCATAAAGTTGATCAGACAGCAAGTTTGAAAAAAGGGAGAAAAAAAGGAAGGATGCAAACAGAGGTATCCTTTTCTTTTCTTTTTATTGGGGGGGGGTGTTGTACAGAGCGACACCCAGTGAACAACATAATTGCCACAACGTGGCAGTAATAATAGCTATTCAAGGGCCGATCATTCATATTAAACAGGGTGAAGCAAGCCTCTCATTTGCATGCTTGAGATTACATGCATTTGAAAAGTCATTTCCGAAGGGTGTATGAATGGCATTAATTCCCATGTGGCTCGCTGCTCTGCCCCCTCCCGGGGCCTTCACCTCCTCCCCTGTTCCTGCCCGCCCACCAACACCCATCCAAACCTGCCAGGCATCTCCACACCCTCACCTCTGCCCTGAGACACCTGCTTTCCCTAGGATGAGCACACCGGCAGCCTCACGCCTCCTGCTCAGCTCTCCACCAGGTGTTGCAATAGCACTGGGGTGTTCCCTGCACCGTTCTGAGCAGACTATGGGTGCCTAGGGCCCAGCCAGCTAGGGATGGGGCAGGGTAGGGTGCTGGAGGCAGGCCTTGATATCAGTGCCCTGTACCCACAAGGGTGTGGGGCCTCAGGGAGAAAGCCGGTGTCTGTGGGAACCTGGACTCTGGCTAAAGAAGGCAGGGGCCTGGGTGTTGGGGCCTAGGCTCAGCCACAACCAACTGTGTATGCTTTGCCTTCCTGCTTCTCTGGGCTTCAATTTCCCCATCTGTACATAGAGAGGTGGTCTTGAAGATCTCTTCTGACTTGGAAGCTCCAGGAGCAAAACTCCCTTATCACGTGAAGCCAGTGTTCTAGTGGCTGGTGGGAGCCACTGAGGGTCCATTTGAGTCACAGCTGTCATCCCTTTCCCAAAGGGATATGCAGACCTCAAATTTCCCAATGCAGACCAGGGCGGCCTGCTCTGGTACCAGGGGGAAACCTCCAAGAGCCCCCTCCCCATTCACTCCTGCCCTTCCACCTCTCTCCGGATACTCCTGCCTTCCCAATCTCCGCTCGTCCCTTAGTCACCCATCGTCTCAGCAAAGAGCTGCTGAAGGCCTGCAGAAGAGGAAAGATGCTCTGGGAATTAGACCATCTGTTTCCCAGGGCCAGCTATGTGGCCCTGGGCAAGTCACTGGATTGCTTTCTTCCTTCATTCCGACTGGTAAGGAGAGGAAATCAGGTCTTTCTAGGATTCACTAAAATTCTCATTCCCCATCCCAGCCTTCCCTGAATCCTCTCCTATCACGAGTTGGGGGCAGGGGAGAGCGACGATTTCTGTCTGGGGCGCTGGTCCTGCCCTGAGGCAGGTCCTGGGCTTCCCTCTCTCTGGGTTCCCTTGGGAAGCCAGGGCATCTCCGAGCCTTCGGCCAGGCCCCGACGCTCCCGCAGACGCCGCCGCCGTCGGAAGGAAGGAAGGAAGCAAGGTCAAAGCCGCAGCCGCCTCTTCCGTTCTAGGGGAGTCTGCGGGCCGCCAGGGACTCCCACTTCCCCTGAGGATCCTGGCCCTTCGAAGATCGCGGGTGCGCAACGAGCGCCGCCTCGGAACGCGCCGGGTCCGCCTCTGAACCCTCCCTGGCCGGAAGTGACGAGTTCCACCTACCCTGGGGCCAAAGGGAGGACCCAAGGGCTAGGGTGCTTTCGGGGAGGGAAAAAGGGACGGCAAGCCCCACACGCGGAGAAACCTTTTGTGCCTTTTTCGAGGGCCCATATGGTATACGCAGTATTAATTACCATAGCTTTTTAATTAACAACCGCTTAATCTGAGCCCTAACATTTGCCACGACACCCCGCGCTTCGCCGCGAACCCGCGCCGTCCGCCCTGCCAACTCATCAATTAATTTTTATTGACGTTTTCTTCCCCAAACAGGCACAATACCAGGGTTTTCCAATTAACACCTCCGCGATCTCTAATTAGTGCAATTAACAGACTGATGGATGCCCGGAGTTTACCCGCGAGGGAGGGAGGGAAGGAGGGAAGGGGCGGGGCAGCCCCCAGCGCGCTCTCGCTCCGGGCGCGCTCCCTCCAGGGCGCACACGTGCCTGCGCGCAGCTGGAGAGGGGGCGCACCTCCAGCTCTTAGGAGAGCTCGGCGAGTGGGGGCGTGATCACAGGTAACCTGTACCCAGAGCTATGGTGGTGGTTTTGAGTTGAAATAGGAGACACCGTTTTCAGCCCTTTGGAAACCTAGAATCTATCTAGTCAAGGCACTAGCTGAAAGCCTGAGACAAGAAGTTGGGAAACTGGCTTCCAGCCCCAGCTCTATCACCAACTTGCTGTGTCCCTTGGGCCAAGTTGTTCTCCCCTTTCTCTTCTGTATAATGGGAGAAACTGGGCTAGATGTAGC